AAAGCAATACATGTAAATATACAAAAAGATTGCAGAACAAGCCCTTAAACTCACACGTCTTTCCACAGATAGTCACACAGAGGTGTAGATGGGAATAATCTAATTGCATGACCTTGACAGTCACCTTAATGTTCACTGCAGGCGCCGGCCGTGACACTTTACCATGATGTGATTACCAGTGAGGTCCTGAACACAGCGGCTTCAATTAAAAAGTTTCATTACCATCTATATCAGATGCCCCATCATGCCTGGCAATAACAAATTGGAGCGTTATTCGATCCCCTTAGACCTCGGAAACGTGTTACTGCCATCATAGGTTTAGAGCTCTACAGCTGCTAACGCCAGGACCAGGTAGCGTCTTTCATTTACAATAACGACCAAAGATAAGGATCCATATAAACATCCTGCTATCTCGATTCCATGTGTACAGCTAGGGAGAAAAAAGGTATTTTGTCTACAGAACCTGGAAAATGTTCCCGTCGGACTAGCTGTCACTGCTTTGTCAGGAAACAGGAGCTCCCAGTGAAAATGGGTAACTTAGAACAAAGCGTCCAGTCTGGTTTGCAACAAGAAGTCATTCATTGTTAATCAGAAACCAGAGAGCATTTGATACAATCATATCTGTTTCACACCCTGATATCCAGTTGGATGTGTGACAGGAGCTGTGGCAGCAGCCAGCGATTCATAGGGGCTGATGTGGAACCTGGACATGTTTCATATCGCTGAGCTGTGATCACAGGTTACAGAGCAGTCAGAGGGTTCGGACATTCACACTGCAAATTGCTTCGCTTTTTTTCAATCTTTTGTGCAAACTCGCCTTGACATTTTCTTAGGACAGTCTGAATGTCACAAGTATCTCAGACACGCAAATGAAATACCAAGCGATGAAATATGTCCATTTTGTTTTAACCAAATGCTTCATTTTAAGATTCTGTTAATTGAATCTTTATTTTTGTATTTGAATTGAACTAATAAAACCTTTTCCAAAGGGTTTGGTGTGGTTAATGGATATTTAAAATCCTGAGGGCTCTATAACTGAAAACCAGCCGAATGTGATTAAAAAAAAGCAATTAACAGAACAGCTAAGCATCTCCTGAAGGCACAACACCTTGAGTCTTTGGAAACGATAAAGTATTTGGCTTCAGCCTCTCACCCTGCAGCACCATCAGCTCCAGTTAAATTAAAACACAGCTCGGAAAGGTAGGCAATCGTTACCATGACTATTGTACAAATCGACCATTCCAATAGATTTTTAAGGTCCTTTTTTTTTATTAGCACGTGAAGATGTTATTATTAATTGTTTATTTCATGTTTATTTTGGCAATAAATGTGATATATTTATCATGTTTTTTGGGAATGTAACAAAACCAATCCCAAATGGAATCGTTTTAATAATCTATTTAAAATCTTATGACTACTAAAAACAAAAAAAGGAACCTAGATGGCAGAAATCATTTGTGTCAAATAGCGTGAGTTTGTTCATCTGCAAAATGCCACCTGTAAGCTAAAAGGCTAAAAACATACTGGTACAGTAGGAGCGTGACACTGCTTTTAAAATGAGATGATCAAAGTTGAAAGCTCATTTAGATCGGTATTTGATGGCCCTAACCAATATTAACACAAACACTGTTGACTTACTGATGCCAGTGGTTTGTACTTTTCCACTTGATCCTACTTAACAACCCAGAAAGCTTGGGTTTAATAGAGAAGAACACAACGTCAGAATGAATGAAATTGTGGAGTATTGACAGAAAGCTACAAAAGAGGAACATTTTCAGCGAGCGGAGGAAAAACCACTTCCTTTCATTGAATGAGAGAACTGTCCAAGAAACCGCAGTTTCATAAAACAACCGCCCCCTCTATCTCTACTACGTGGCAACCTAATATAACAGCTTCAGTGTGTTTATGCTACAAAACAATATTAGCATATAGCAGAAAGCACTTGCCGTACAGAACTATACACCACGTCCCAGTTGATTTAAGACGCAGGTAAAGCCACCAATCACAGTATTAACACAACCTCACATAGACAAACTAATTCAAAATGGTATTAGCTTGAGACATTACTCAGTTATTGTTTCCTCTGTTCCTGGAAATGTCATTTAGGAGCATGCTTTGTAATTGTCTTTCTGAATTAATCCCTGGATTAGTAAAAAAAAAAAAAACGATATTCTGTCTCGACATCCGAGAGCCTCAAGGCAAGTTATTAAGTTAGGTTATTGATCACCAAGAATAAATGCTTATTCAAATGCCACTAAAAGAGGGCCGAGAATTAATATAGAGACAGCTTGCGCTCACATCCGTCTGACTGTAATGCTTTCACTTTTAAATGTCACTGTGTCTGTCTTCTGCACAGCATTAACGTTCATAAAGCGTACTTCTTCCGGTTAGTGCCCAGCAGGCAGGGCTCGGATGGCTATTTGAGAAATTCAATTCACCTAAATTGAAATTGGGGTTTAGTGCGGGAGCAGTCCAAAAGCGTGCGCTGGGATTACCCAACCAGGTGGTGAGGCAAACTGTCGGAGAATCAAAGTAATTTGGCCTCTGGCTCCAGCCCACTCCGTTTGCCTGAGCTGCTTTACGCACCCCCCGCTGCTCCCTGGTTGGAGATAAATGTCAGCAGAGCTCAGAGATTATCTTTGTATGAATTCAAATGATTTTAGACTCTGTGTTTGTATTTGCTTGTGTGCATGTGTATGTTTGTACATATTTGTCCGTTTGATGAATGTGTGTGCTTGTTTGTCCAGGTGGGGTGTGTGTGTTTGTCTGTGTGTGTCAGAGCGAGGCAGTGATTCCCCTGATGGGCATGACAGATGGGAAGGGAGTGGCTCAGCTTGTTCTCTTTGCCACCTGAGAAGCAGGGGGGCGGCGTGTGTGTGCCGGTGCAGCGGCCATGCTCACCTCTCATCAGTTTGACAGAAGCCAGACTGACAGAAACCACTTTGTTTTGATTCATGTATTAGCCTCTCAATAGGCCGGCTAATTGCTGATGGGAAGTTGCCCCACACTGCACATCAGAAAAGTGAGTGTACTATAACTGGAGTGAGGTCCTGTTTTGGATTGTGTTGTTTTATGTACAAAACATTCATTTGTAACGTTTGATTACTGTCACTTTGACTACAAATGGCAGCTATATCAGCTAATCAAGTTGTGTTACTACGGAAACATATCTGCACAGAGAAGAGTGTTATGAGTAGTTGCAGATCAACCAATGTGCACACCTCAGAGAATCCCACTTACATGTGGTGCGAACCTGAGCCTCAAACAAGTTGATCTAACTTCCTGTAAGATGTACAAAAACATTTGGGTGACACCAAAAAACAGCCATGCTAAATGTCTAAGAACAACACACCTGCACAGTCATTCTTTATGTATACACTCATGTGTGTAGCCCTAAGTAACATGTTGCCACATGCCAGAATGAAACTCTGCAAGCCAGTGTATACATTAGGCCAAAAACAACAAAGCCCCACTCACTAATATCTAACATTAGAAGTGCTTTTGTGTTTGACATAGGCCAACAAACAACTTGTGTTGATTGTGGTACACAAGTGTCAGGATTTCCCAGTACGTTTTTTATTCATATTTCAATAACTTAGGTTTATCAGCTTCTGAATCCAGACTGTTCACATTTGTAACACGTCCTCATTAAAAGAAGGTAAGCAAAAGTGAGTAGGCTACTCCTTTTCTTTAATGTGTCAGCTGTTATGTCAGTGCATCTGATATATATTTGATCATCATTTCAAATGCCTTTTCATCTCAATTTGAGGTGCAGATTGTTAATATTAATGAGTCAAAAGTGCCACAAAAAACTGCAACTGCCTTCCAAGATAAGAAAAGGTGACTACAGATCTCACTTCAATGCTTGAGTTACATTCAAACACATTTTACTTTTACTGAATTGAGTAAAGTATTGAGAAACCCCACCTTAACAGTTACTGCTGCACATCTGCCTATTCAGCGTGGGGTCTTGAGTCCAGATAAAAGTCATGAAATTGCAACATGAAGAGGATCATAAGTCAGCATAAACACTGCTGTCAAACAGAGGTGTGAGATGTCAATGTGGAACGGCATGCTAGCCTCCAGACTGTGGCCATGCCGGAGAGGAAAAGTGCAAGTTCATCACTGTGCAGGGTAATGTTCTTCAGGAGGAGAGCTGACTGCTGCAGCCTGGGGTCTGTGAACTGTGCAGCGCCACACTGGCCCACAGCCAGCAGATGGAAAGAAAAATTGGCTCCAAAAAATCTGTTGCAGCACCCGGCTAATTCCAGTGTGTCCATTTACTGCCTTGTCAGCCCGAGTGATTCCTTAGATGCAGACATGTTTATCCCTGCTGCACAGAGGTGACGGAGGGCTCAGACAAGACAACATACATATTGTTATTCTAGAGAATATTCAAAGTGGGATGAGTTAAGATTTTCCAAAAGGGTATGTGATTGCAACTCAGAATCACTGGCTATGACAAAATGCAAAGATTGTAAAATGTAAGTTGTAAACTAAGGCTGGCACAATACAACAAACTTGCAGTCTATATATGATCGTGTGATGCTGCTCAGGTGGCAGACAAAGAAACTGGGCTCATACATCTTATCTGTGAAGACGAGGAAAAGCTCTCGGAATGGAGAGCTGAAGCCTTGTGGTTATTGGGTTGGATCATTTTCTAATCTACAGGAAAAAAGCAGGGGATACTGATCAACATGTGAGTGAGCTGAACATATGTGCTGTACAGCTCAGATGTACTATACATACAGGATCTGATATCTGCACCTGTGGTAATGAGACACTGTTCTCCAGCATGGAAAAATAAAACCAGCCCCACCTCCCCTCCAGTCCTTTGACTCTGCGACACGAACAAGGTATCAACGTGACATGCACTCACAGATTCGACTGATGTAGGTTCACAGTTAATGAAGAATGTGCTGAAACAGGAATAGTGTAACTTGGTGGCAAACATGTCAACCTCCAGAGGTGTGCTCAAAGCTTGTGAAAACATGTCTTACCTTGGTGGTCAGTCGTCTTTACTCTGCCGTTGTTTCTTTACATTTCATCCCAGCTTTCATCCAAACGTAGCTCTCAGGGAACTCTGTAATCAGATCAGAGACAATCTGTAATTCCTCGACATCTTTGCCAACAAAAGACAAACATCCAGCGGGCCAAATGCTCTCGGGAGTTAAAAGGCTTACGGATAGATCCTGCTAGCCAAATCCTACAGATAGTCACAGCTCTGCACAAGGAGATCCACATGGCCACTGATGCATGCATGCATGCATGCATGCATGCACTGCCAAGTCAGGGATGACATGGGAGAAAATGTAGAAACCAGAGGAAAATCCTGGAAGGAGGTGCAAGGTTTTCTTGTATATGCAAACCAATGTTAGATTTGCATGTGACCAGCTTACCACTAAAAGGCTTAGTAGTCTAATCCTTTAGCCAAATGAAGTGTCTAACTTAAGGCTGGCCTAAAGGAATCAAAGGGAGTTTATAGTAGGAACCTCACTGGACCTTTAAAAAGGCCAGGAGAGCACAGTACAGGAATTCATTGATGGAAATAGATGTTCTGCTCTTAATGGTACAGGTATTAATCCTCTGGCTACTTTACTGCTACAAGGTCTATTATTATTATTATTGTTTTCTTCAATAAAAGGAAGGCTTCAGGCGTTATTAGCAACCAGCCAGGTTGAACACCTGTACTCGAACCCAAGATGTATTAATGTGAACAATTAGAAGTCACACCTCAATACGCAACTTCAAGGTTAAGATGAGCAATGCACTTGTGAATGTGAGAGGGATCAGAACTGAACAGACTGTTAAGTAGACTGTTCCTGAGGAAGAGCGCACATGCTTGACATACCTGGGCAGAAACCATGACTATTGAAGTCAATTAGATTACATTGCGCATCATATTCAATCATCTCATCCTGAACAGGATCTAAACTGCCTATTTGCATTTGTTTTAAATAAAGCCACTGGCAGAGGCAAATTCAATAAAGCTTCACATCTGTTTTCACACACACAAATATTTGAACACAGTCAAATAAACAGTAACAAACAACACGTACAAACATTTCAATATTCACTCATGCTGATAATGATCAGATCACATCTGACATCACAATCACGAAATAATCTCTTTGTGACTAAATATAATCTCTTCGTGACTAAATATCTAGGTATGTACGGCATTGTGGTGAAGGAAAGAGCACCTATTGGCATAGTTAAAGAAAATATGTTAAAACCACAACTAAATGCTTTCGTCATGTTAAGGCAAGCCTAAAACATTTTTTTGAAAGTGTTTTTCCTTAACCTTCTGTCATTCATGAATTTACTTTGTCTCAGCTCTGATTGAGAAACCATTGAATCAAACACAATAACGTCATCATTATGGTGTGTGTGTTTGGCACACGAGATACATTTTCCCAGGTTGAATTACTATCTGATGACATTCAGCCAAGTAGCACAACGACATTCTCACCTTTCCACCTGACTTGGCAGGCGGCACACACAGCGCCACTCCTATCTTGCATTAAGAAGTTAATACATTATTATTCTTGGATGCACAAAAACGTAGCTGCTTTTTTGGCGGCATTATCAACAGAAGGCACAGACTTGACAGTGTTTCTTTTATATCAGATTTGACTCAACTGTTGCTGTCTCACAAATCACAAGTCGATACAGAGAAGCTGTCCCTAGGTGTAGCCTTTTTTAGGGCAAATAACGTTTAAATATTGAAATACTGCAAATACTGTATATCAAAAGTAACCGCTTAAAGGTGGGGTAGGTAAGTTTCAGAAACCGGCTCGAGATACACTTTTTGTTATATTCCATGGAATGCTCTTAACATCCCGATAGCAATGAATATCTTAAGTGCTTTGACAAAAAATCCATTAAAAAAATGTCATCTGTGGAAGCCGTGGTACTGTAAAAAGTACAACCAATCCGCGTTCATTGTGTGTTGGAGGTACGTTGGAGAAACCAGCTCGAGTGCTAGAATTTGAAAATACACAACCGGAACAAATCTGCCACTTCCTTCCAGAGCCCCCTCCTCCAACACACACGAATGCGCACATGACCAATGAGGGCACGAGATAAGTTTGTGCACAGATGGAAGGCTGACAGGCAGGTAGGCCATCCAGTTACTTTAGCCGGGCCGGCTCAAATGATTGGTTGTGCTTTTTACAGCACCACGGCTTCCACAGATGACATTTTTTTATGGATTTTTTGTCAAAGCATTTAATATATTCATTCAGAGCATTCCATGGAATATAACAAAAAGTGTATCTCGAGCCGGTTTCTCAAACTTACCTACCCCACCTTTAACCATGATCATGTCTAAAAGATATGCTGCCTCACATTTTGGAAGGCAGTGAATGCATCTGATTCTCCGGCTAATCCATATGCTAAGCCAGCTCTCAGCCCCGCGGGGAGAGATAAATAATATGCATCGGCACAGATAAGAGGGCCAGCTGCTTGGAGTCAGGGTTAAACCTGACAGCCCTCAAGCTCATATACAGAATATATTCTGTGTGTTTATATTACCCACAGAGAGAGAGACAAGCTAGTACTGTCCGTAGAGGACGTACGGCAATGCCTCAAAACAGCCAACCATACAACCTTTGTAGGTTGTTTATAGCAGTACTTTAGCCATTTACTTCAGGCAATGCATTTACACGTCAACTTTAGGGTTAAAATCCTGCTACAAAGTTTTCCTGCTGAGCAAAACGTGCAATATTACAACAATCCAATTGAAGAATCACATTGCTTTATGACGTGGGACCCCTTGCGATGCTAACTTTCAGGTCAGCCAAATGAAATACGTCATCACTGCACCACTCTGGGGAGGCTGTGGCGTAGTGGACTAGTACGTTGGTGTTCGGATCAGGGGGTCACAGATTCAAACCCCACTGCAGTCAGCATGTCGTTGTGTCCCTGGGCAACACTTCACCCCAAATTGCTCCTGTGGGGATTGCCCACAGCATTGAGTAAGTAAGTCGCTTTGGATAAAAGCGTCTAACAAGTGACATGTAATTTAATTTAACTCTATTGCAAACCCAATTATTGACCACTGAAAGTCACTGTGACAAGGTGACTTTCAGATAAACAGATGAAACAAACAAAAAAGACTGATGGATACTCGGATAGTCCTTCCACTCTTGTAGCTAATAAAAAGGAGACTGGGATATTTTGTCTACAGCATAACATAATTACACATGAGCTGTAGTCTTGTGACATGCTTTAGTGACACGCAGAAAGCCACAAAGAAGAATGAATATGTGTAGTGCCTTGATGTAAACCATGAACATGACCACATTCTGAACATGAAAAGGGGAAACATGGACCCCTTTTATCCTGGGTATGTAATGGATTACTATGTTCCCCTGTCTATTAGTACGCTGATTGTTTACTGCAAATTGTTTTAAATGGTAAGTTAGTTAAATTAAAAGCTTGACATTTGGGAAGCACACTTATTTGCTTTTGGTCCACTCCTTTATGGAAGAAAAACAACAACATTAGCAATGTGTCTGCGGAGAGACAGTAGAAACTTGCTGGCCTAGCTGCCTTACGACTACAAACAACTACATATACAGAACCTTTTCTGAAAGAATAGCTTGACATTTTTCAAAATAAGTTGATTGCTTTCTTTCCAAGAGATGGATCATACCATTTATATAAATGTAATGTTCATGTGTTGAGTACATATCTAGAGTTAGGACATTGTTAGCTTAGTTTAGCACAAAGACTGGAAGCAAGCAGAACCATCTAAATAAAAAACAGGGAAAATGATAAGAACTGAAGCTTGCAAGTTATTGCATGTTTTTGGTTGTTTAATCCGCATACCTTTTTCTTGCTTAATTGAATATTTTCTTCCATTTTTCATGTATAATAACAACCTCAAACAGAGAGAAGGGATGCCTTGTAATAGATATTGCATTAATTGTAGTAGCGATTTTCTACCTGCAGTTCCTGGGCAGAGAGAGAAACTGAAATGTTAGAATTAAACAAACAACATACAGTAGTACGTTTCATTCAGTAAGCTTTAGGGTACTGGTATGCATATCTTGAACTTTGGACAGACCAAGGCAAACTGCTTTTCCTGGGGAGAGCCTTTATGCTAAGCTAGGAAACCATACCTCCAGCCCTATAATCAACACAAAGAAACTGAAATAATCTTTATCTTTGAATGATTTTCACTTTTAGAAACAAGCAAATCTAGAAAGATTTCAAACTATTCTATTAAAGAGACTTAAGTATTATAGTTTATAAGCTTATAAGCTTATAAACCAAAGTAAGAGAAAGCATTTACAAACCTATACAGGACAGAACAATTGACAGGGGACATAATCATTAGTCCAGCAGCAAACAATAACAATGTCACAAAATGTCCACTTACAAGATGACAAGCCCTAAAGGACAGTCTTAAAAACACAGCACTGACAGAAAATCTTTCCGTAGACTTTTTAAGACAGAGCAGTGACTGAAAAACAGAACAAAGGAATGCTTATTACTAGCATCGTTCAAAACATTCTTGAAAAGAATTCAAGGACAAGATGACCAACATCTGAATTCTCAGCCAACACTTTTTCCCTTTGAAAAGCTCAAATCGAGTTTGTAACACCTCAAGGTTCAAGGCTTTTATTGGTCATACGAACATAGCTACAGTGTAGTTATGACGATGGACAATCTTCGGTCACAGGGACTTCGTTTTACTGCAGAATTTCTTCAACCTGTCATATTAATGTGTGTCTTATTTTCAATCAGTCTTAATAAGAAAAGTTGTCTCATATTCAGGGAGGCCGATGTGGTATTTATATAAGCCTCGTCTGCTCATCATACACTTGACAGTGAGAGACCGCATATTTTCAGTAAATACCTGCTCATTCAATCAAGCCAAGAATAAGATAACTTCACCCTCTATGTTTGCATGCAAAGCTCATTTATACTTAATCAACTATTTTCCTTCTCTCTTACTCCAATGTGTCTAACTTATCGGTATGCCAGTCCTGCTTATCACAATTGTGTAGGCAGACTGGGAAGCTTAATCTCCAAAATAAAAATGATATATCTCTTGTAGGATGACAGCATCTG